TGGCATTGAGAGCTCTGATGGCTGGAGTTCTGCAAGAAAACAATACAATATCATTAAACACACTTTACTGTTTCAAAGCTACAACACATGACTAAGAAAAATCTCTCCCCAAATGCCTTAACATTAGAATGCTTTCTAGAGTGCTGTGTGACTACATCCTGTATCTTACTGCCAAAGCTACTATGTTACTGTATTGTGAGAACAGAACAGTTGAGAAACTGCCAGTAACTTCTTGTATACTACACAGCCTAATGATTATATTATGTCTGTGAGTTTTTTAATAATGCCATCAAATACTTTTTTTTACTGTAAGGTCTAAATCCCACTTTTTTAATGATTTCTGCTTTAAAAGGGCCTTTTCGACTATGGAAGAATATACCCAGATCTCTGCACTTTTTCAAAATAAAAGTAGTATCTCACTATACAGCTCCAAACTAAATTTACCTTCGATCATCACAAGGAGGAGGGGTAGTCCAGTGGTCATAGTTTGTCTCCACACGAAACCACCTATACCATAATACACAAACACAAAAGACATCTCAACGGGTAATTATTAAAGACCAAAAGTGAGTATTTCTGTACTGCCAGAAGGAAAAAAAAAAAAAGCTCTCTCAAAAGCCTCTTTCCTGAATCTCTGGCAAGCCCAACGGATCCCCCTGTTGATACACATAGCAACCTTTATAAATTACTGAATACAAACAAAACAAAAATGACGGAGCCTTTAAGTCTCATTTCTCTTGATATCTGGTCAAAGAACAAACACATACACACATTTTTTCCTCTACTGTCTATCTAGACCGCCCCAACCTGACAAGGTGGTTTCACTCTTTTTCTAGGAAGGAGAGAGGAATGTTCCTTCCAGAGAGTCTTATTAAAGCCTGTCCTATAAGAGGTATTAAGAGATGAGTCTCTACAGAAAGCACTCCCATTACCCTTTGCTATCACTCAGAAACAAGCAGGGAAGATGAAACCAAGGCTTTTTATTCATACTTACTCTCCACCTAAAGGATCCAGAGGCCAGAGATCTGCTGGCCCTCTTCTGTTCCTCGTTATGACCATGCCTTCTTTGGGTGACACGCCTCCTACGATATAGTACACTTCTGCAATGATGGGAACGCTAGCTAGGCTAAGAACAGCAGACTGAAAGTCCTCCGCTCTGCTCAGGGTCTAGTGCAAGAAGAAGGCCAGAATGAAACAAAAATCACAAAGTGCCTCTCGACATATTACAAAGAAAGAGTTCCCTGATAACAATATCCGACATAGTTTCAAATAACTATTGGATCATCATCCAAGGGAAAAACTGCCCAACTGTATCCCATTTTACTGTATCCCTCCCCACTAAATGAAATTCTCCCCAGGGTAGAAGCATTTGCACAGCTCTCAAAGATTTCTGACACTCATCAGTGCTAGGTGAGTTAGCCACCCAAAGGACAAGAATTGCCTCTATCATACATGTTGCTGACAACTTAGGAATAAGAACTAACCCCCTTGTAAAAATATTTTATCGATCTATTAAATTCTCTGTGGAAATAGCAGTCAGAACAACAGATCTGTTATAGATCTTAAGTTCAAGTAAAATGATTGTGAAACCTGAGAATGCTGTGCACTTACATCTCGGACAAGCCAGCTGACCGGGTAATTTCGATTCAGGAAAGCAGCTATTGCATTTTCCCACCACCTACCACCCTCTGGAAAAAAAAAATTACAAAGGCATGTTATGTATACTGTATGAAATGAATCTTTCTGTCTTCCTTTCTTTTTCAGCTCTACTAAAATTTCCCTCCGCTGCACTACAAAAGAGCAGTGCAATAAATTCTCTCGCTATAGCACTATCACCATATCATTAAAGTCATGCAGGTTCCACTAAACAGGCAAAGCACATGCCATTTCCAAGTAATAGGAGCCTCTTGTGACATCTTGGGTTTATCAATACTGTTCAGAACACTGAATGCTGATAATACTCCTTTATTGTTATCGTACCACTTCACTGATAGCTATATATTAAACCTGCAGGGGCACGCTGCAAAATGAGGCTAGGGTCAAACATACCTGAAAGGCCTTCACTTTAGAAAATGCACCCTTCAAATGCTCAGGCATGCAGTTTTGCAGTTTTCTGAATCATTAGGTACAGATATATGTTTGGAGAATCACGGAAAGCTAAATTCTGAGTGAAATAGGGCAGCATTTATCAATGTGAAACGGCAGCATTTCAGGAAAGAAGCTGATAAGCACATCTACCTGCGACTACAGGTGAAATATAAATAGACTACATAATCCCAACAGAAGTTCAGTCAGGGGCAGCTGGATTAGCACTCCTGCTTTTTAGAATATATCTTGGGATCTGTAACGACCTAAGAGATTGGGATCTTAGCTTTTCAGCCTATTCTGATTGTTTCAGTTTTGTGACCTGTGTTGCAAGGTTGGACAGTAAGGTGATAGGGAGCTGGTAAGACAGAAAATAAAGACGATGGAACGGTTTGTATTTAGTGATAGATTCAAGAGAGCTACAGCAACAAACTCAACCAATCTGAAAGCTTTCTATCAGAAAATATGCAATGAAATCAAAAATGTCTCTTTCAAGACCACCCTCAGTACTTCAATGATCTGTCTCCATGAAGATGCTTATACTGACTTCACCATCAGCTTTAGCAATTTTAGTTGTAAGTAACCACACACAGAGCTGCAAAGAGAGAGAGAGAGATGCTTGAAAGGCTGCAGTAGACAGAAGTGGGAAGTGCATTCAGTAACAGAAAACATGTATCTCAAAACAAGTTAGTGCTAGAAATTTCAGGCCAAAAGTAGCACATTCCTTTTGGTCATGATCTACTAAATGTTTCAATTTAGAAACATTTTTTATTCATAGTTGAATGCTGAATAATGACAAGGGAAAGGTTAATGTATCAGGGAGTAGCTCTTCATAAAGCATACTGCCAAAAGGACTGCGGCTCTATTTATAAAATAATCAACAGCTCTCAGCTCAACTATCAGCACAAATTACCCATAATTTATCTTACTGAACTTGTTCCACACGAAATGTGCAGAAGAAAATTAGGAGAACTAAGAAAACAGGAAATACAAAGGTCAAGTTTATAATTATTCATATGCCAAAAAAAAATCAGAAAAAAAAATGTTGTCACTTGACAGACCTTCATCCTAATTTGTAGTCATCCTTCTCCAGCAATAAATCACACTTTTCACTTCCCTCAATCTCAGTTGTACAGAGATATATTAAAAAAAAAGGAAGTAGTCAGTGTCAATTCATTATCTAAGTGCCACAGATGTTGGGCGAATGTTGTCTATAACTAAAAAGCCGTCTGTATTTATATTGCTGTCTATAATTTAAAAGTGTCAAAGTTCAAGGCACACAGATGGATGATAGCACGTGGGTTTGTGATGTACCAGGGCAGCCATTTCACCCAAATCTGGCAGTCCTTCATTCTCATTTCAGGCTCAGGTGCACAGAATGGATCTGTGCATGGACTATCGCATCTCCCAGCTGTCTCAAACTATTTTATACTGAAGTATGAAGCATCCTGCTGAGGAATTAATATCTCTGTAATATATCTATTCAATACTGATCCTACAATATCTAAAAAACATGAGAAAAAAGACTGCCCGAATTCAAAAAGAATATTTGCTTATCAGTAGTCAAATATAAACATTTATTTTAGATGTAGCTTCTAATTCAGACTGGATTGTTCCTTGCTGACATAAACAGTCAACAAAGAACAGAATAAAATGACTGATTCTTAAAAATAAAAAGAGGGGCCAGGAGATCACAACCCAATCTCTGGTTTGGACATGGTGTTGAAGGACATGGCAGTGATCCCTCCTCTCCTTTCTAACTCTTAACAAGGCATTTTATTATCATCAGATACTATTCATCAACAGCAACATCTCTCCTGTTTCCTCAAGTTGCTTTTCCAGTATCTCCTGGGACCATGTCAAGTGCCCCTGCCTTTCCCCTAGATCTCACAGTTCTTTACGTGCTTGTCTTCCAGCCCTCTCTTTCAAGTTGTTTTGTGGGGATAGATAAAAATGGAATATAAAGGACAGAGCACCTCAGGAAGCAGCAGTTTACTTGTCATACAAGACATCTCTTTACTCTCTGCCCCTATTTTGCCTTCTCTAGTTGTGTCCCTGAAAAGATCCCATGAATTCAATTCTTCCTGATTTCCCCAAGGTTCTCTTCGCACTTTTCAAGCTCAAATGACAAACACTGTGCTGACAAACACCTCTCTTCTACGCAGCTGCCAAAAAGCAGCACTCCATGTGACACGACTCCCTGTGGTCTCAATTTCAGCTCTCTCCTGGCATCCTTACCGCATTTTCCCTCTGGGAGAATAAGGCAATGCGCTGGAAGAGGCAACAATCAACTGAAATAGTGTACGTGCTGTCAAGTGCAGAAAATTATTTTACCTCGTTCATCACCAGAGATTGTGAACTTGTGGGGGCTCTGTCCAGTCCATAGGCCTACATAGCCAAAAAATGTAGTGCCTTGATATGCTATCTGCAACCACAAAACATACAGTATTTTAGTATTCTGGATCAGAGCACATTTTTAAACACAAGCAATACTCTGAAAGGGCATCCTGCAATTCTTTCTGTGAATTTCATACATTATTTTAGAAGTCACCATAAAAACTTGGCCTCCAACTAAAGAAAACATCATGAAGTAAATTATAAAAGAACTCTACAGGCCAAAATTCAGCACATTTAGTTTGCTCACAATAACCAAGTACTATAAAAATGTTGCAAGTAAGAAAAAAACAATAACTTTTCTATTGCAAAAACAACTAATGAATACTAAGAAAAACTACATCGAAGAGGACTGTATTAAAAACTATTCGTTCATAATGATTTTTCAGAATCTAAACCATATACATTGGCCACAAAAACTAGCATCTGAAAAAGGCATTGGGATCTGCCAAAGTCTATCTCTTTCCTATATTCTCTAGTATTCCTTCTTGTTTTTAAACGTCTTTACTTTCTTCTCCCAGTGGTTCCTTCTAAATATTGATCTTGAGATGCTAGATTATTTACACTGTTCTATCTGTTCCTATTTCTCCTCACCGACTGAATAGGCACAACGGTGTTCCAGGAAATCGATAACCTGGCATTTTCACACTAAATTTTGTTGCCTACACAGTAGTATAACTGCATACAATTCTTTCAGAGACCACCACCTAGCCATGTCCACCATAGATCATACCTGCCCACATTTTATAAATTGCACATCAATTGTAATCTTGCTTAAAATATCTACAAAATCATAATCCAGGTTCCGACCATGGTAAATGTTTCCTTTATCATCCTGAGCAACAATACTGGTACAGAACCTTCAAAAGAAAAAGCAGAAAAAAATGAGTTAAGAAAAACTAAGGTGACATTTTTCAGCATTACGGCAAGCTAGTCAAACTAGCTTAGCATTTCAGGAGCTGTAACTTTTAAGTATTTTACTAACATAAGCATACAAATAGGAAACCACAGTACATGGCTAACACTTGCACTTCCTGACCTGAGAATACAGCCCCTCCTTCTACTTTTTGATAGAATTCTTAAGAGCTTTCATTTCTTCTTGAACACCACAAAAAAGATGACGCACACAAGTTCGGCTGAAACTTTGCATAACTAGGAAACATTACAATGCCCTATGCAACTCCTGCATGATAACCAGATGAGGGCCCTATCCTACACCTGTATCTATACTGTATATACCTTACCAGGTCTCATCAGGCACAGAAAGTCAAAACTCTTATGTTGCATCATGTCAGATATTACAAACCAGGTAGGTAGCAGCACTTCCACTCAGAAAAAAAAATCGTATTTTCAAAACCCACCTTTTCAAAATTCAGATGAGAAGCTGACATGTAAGAATAATCACAAGATACCAGGCTGAAACTTTTAAAATTTCATTTTCCTAGACTACTTCAATTTGCATCTTGTTTATATTTTTAATTACCATTAGATTACAAGTTCAAATAAAATCCTCTTAAATCTAAAACACAAGCTGTTTCTCATGTTAGTCGTTCAAACGAAAGTTAGACTATAGCTCCAAAACAGGAAATGTGCTGTAATTACCTTTTGAATATTAAGAGGTTCAGTTTCACTGAAACAGATTTCTTTTTTATTAAGCACATATATACATACATATAGATATTTAGATATTTATTAAGTATATTTATTGTGTGGAATTGAAAACTTTTCTTCTCTGGAGTGGGGTTTGTCAAGCCAGTGATGCAAAGCACAGCCTTTCAGAGCTGTAAATTGCAGACAAGTAGTCTTTTGCTGTGAGCAACCAGAAAAGCAACCAGGAAACCTTTAGCTTGTGAGCAAGTAATCTTAAACTTGAATAAGCTTTATTGGGGTTGAAAATGGTCAATGTCCTCCATGAATAACTAAAATGACTTTTGAGGTATTAATTCTTGTAAAGAAACAGTATTACTCTTAATTGAGTACAGAGATTAGAAAAAGTAATAATAAAATATGAAGAAGTGTCTGTATCGATCTATTTTTAGTTAAAACAAAAACAACTTGATCCTCATACACAGAATATCTTCTATCCTCCTGCACATACTTCTAGTGCAAAAGAAGGAATGGAAAACGAGTATTTTTTTCCACTGAGGTTTTCTTTCCCATCATAAAAGTAACTGCAACCATTTTGCATTGAGAAAAATAACAATAATAAAAAAATCCCATTATGTAGCCAGCATGATGGCCCATCCAGACAAATGTCTTGGAAGCCACTTTATCCCAGCTAAAGAGTCTAACTGTAATTAATAACTTTTAAAAAATGTATTTTTAAGGCACAACTATTGTTTTCCATTTCCTTCTTGATAAACTACAACAACTTAAAGGAATGCATTAGATTTATCTTAAAAGAAGAGCAAACTAAAAAAGTTTAAAGAGATGGTCCTTCCTTACCAGCAATTTCTTATTATGCTTTTTATTTATATTTTTTATATATTTTTATAACACAATGGCTGTGTACTACCATTATTAGTAAATGGTAATGCTGCAACATGCTTTCTTCGATTTCTCACACAAGCGATGGGGAGAGAATAAAACTATCCAGATTAATATATGAAATATATGAAATATTAATATATGAAATCCTAACAGAAGAAGCAATAATCTACCATGTGCCTTCAAATATACACTTTCAATGAACTAAAATGAATCTCTACTTCACTTCTAGGAGATTCAATCAGTACCAGATACTTACGCTGTGGACTCATTTCACACAAGTGATGGGGAGAGAATAAAACTATCCAGATTAATATATGAAATATATGAAATATTAATATATGAAATCCTAACAGAAGAAGCAATAATCTACCATGTGCCTTCAAATATACACTTTCAATGAACTAAAATGAATCTCTACTTCACTTCTAGGAGATTCAATCAGTACCAGATACTTACGCTGTGGACTCATAGGCAAAGTTCAGCAAAACTCCATCTCCCAGACTTATCCCCAGCGCTTTGCACAGTCCCAGAATTTCCCCTACAAAGGGCTGGGGCATAAAGAACTCCAATTCTGCGGCAAGTGGCCGAATAACTTCATGGACCCATTTTGGTACTGCTTCACTGCAAAACATGCTCAAGGAATTAATTAGCTATTACCCAAGAATGTGACAGGTCTGCAGAAAGGTTTGCAGCATACGCTCAGAAATTAAATACTCGTCGTACCTGCTACTACTCCGATCAGCCTACACCATTTGGCACTGATCATTTACTAGATCCACCTCCCACCCTGCACCACATATCCCTGCACCCCTGCTGGCTCTGGCGCATCCCCAGGGATGTCCACGCAACCTCTGAAACCAGCACTAAGCTTGTGTCTCCCGCCTGCTGAGGAAATTCATAAACTTTTGCTCTCTACCACTGATCTCTTACAGTTCACCCTTTGATGGGATTCCTAACGTAGCAGCACTAAGCTTGCCCTGAGTTAATACTCAGAAAACTGAAAATTTGCAGAATAATTGAGGAATATGCCGCCTGCGCAGCATTACCCCTGCTCTTCATTGCAGCCCCACTGCTACGGCTGAGGGGGAGCAGATGGGTCCCGAGCCTGTCCCGCTCCTGGCAGGAGCTGCGGGAAGGGTGACAGGGACCCAGGGCCGCCCTTTTCCCTCTGAGGGACACCTTGCTGCTCCCCACGGAGGGTCACGCAGCCGCTTCGTCCCTCTTCCCGCACCCTCCGCCTGCACCAGCCCGGAGAAGAGCGAGGGGCACCAGGCTCCGCCGCTGCCCCACACTCACTCAATGACCCGGGCGACGGCGGCGCGCAGGAAAG